TAATCCCGTAGTGATATTTGACTGGTCGATACAATGAGTGATCTGTGTAACGGAGAATGAAAATCATATCTATATTTTGATGTTTCCTCCTGTTCCTCCGACCTGAAATTCAAATTGCGCATTACATTTAAAATACTAAAAGTTAGATTATTACATAAATTTAAAAAACTATTACAGTCAGACCTCTCTAAGTGCACCCTCTATAAGTGCACACCCTCTCTAAATGCATGCACAAGTGCCGGCCCAAATATATACTTGACCTCCATAATGCACTTTTCTTATTACAGTATTCTCTATATGCATGTTATAAAAGTGTGGTCCCAAGGGCGTGCACTTAGAGAGGTCTGACTGTAGTATTTTAATGTAATACTTAATTTGAATTTACATGTCGGAAGAGGTCAGTGATCACGAAACCGTGATATTTTTATGGCACGATCGGATCGCAGAAGCTACGGACAGTTCAGTGGCCAGAATTATGATTAGGGCTAGGGTTAGGGTAGGTAAATTTAATTAATGTCAGTCAGCATGCACTGCCGTAAGAACTGTCCATAGACTCGGCGCGATCGGATCTTCCGTGCCACGTTACTCATGTGCCAGCCATCAGATAACGTTTCTGGCTTACAACTTAAAAACTTGAGACGACACCATTCTGATAAGACATTAGCTTAAAATATCAAAACTTTCTCAAGTCATCTAGACAACATAAATGCACTTAATCGAGACGAGACCAACTTGATTCTGTGGTTTACATTACTCCCTCTACCTTCTGGGGGTTGGTTTGAACGAATTATATATATAAGAAATTTTTTGTCCTATTTCTAAGCAAATTTTCAGTTTCGGGATTTATCGGACTTTTTTCCCAAGTTTTTGCTCGACCACGCTCGTAGATTTTAGGTTTGTTCATTGTCTACATCTGAAATTCCCGGTTGTTGCCAGCTTCATAATTATTTTAAAAAATATCTGCAAATATACTAAACTTTTACATATAATTATAATCCTTTTTTGTCATGAGGGAAGGGGGGTAATGTAAACCACATAATCAAATTGGTCTCGCCTAATTGTTTAAAGTCAAAACTCTATAGTATTACTGCACAACAACACTGCATAATTGCAATCTCACGATTTACAGCACTTACAGCATTCGAAGTTTTATGCTTAATTATGCGCATGTCATAATGCTGTGATTCAGCAATTAAGAATGACAACTATATGAATGCCAAGGTCTGGGCAATATGTAAATAATTAATCTAATTGCAATCTAACGATTTACAACACTTACAGCATTCAAAGTTTTATGCTTAATTATTGCATATGCCATAATGCTGTGATTCAATAATTAAGAATGACAGATGATTAACTATTAGAATTTTACATTAGGGGGGTTTAAAGTTAAATCAGAGAAACTTATTTTATTTTTCCGATTTATAATTCAACATAGTAAAAATGCTATTGAAAAAATCCTATTTATTTTCGAAATGCGTCACTTATTTATTAACTTTGAAATCCCATATTTACAGAACTATTACGATGATCCTTGTCGATCATTACTAGAGGTCCAATCCGGATAAATCCGTCATCCGTATCTGAATTATCCGACTGATATTCGGACAATTATTCGAATATCAATAGTAAACAGATATCCGCTACCTGTTATCCGAGTATCCGATCCGAACTTTATTCGGATATCTGATAATTATTCGGATAAATGCTATCCGGATTGGACCTCTAATCATTACCTTGCGTAAAAAATAAACGCTTTAACGTGTTATTTAAGATAAATGCACACTTTATTATAATTTAAACAGTTCTCTCTCGAAACATTAGTAGCAGTAGCACTAATACGAACAAGAAACAAACGATGAACAAGATGATAAGCACATTTAGTCAAAAATTAGGTTTACAACGATCACATGATTTTGTCGTTACGAATCAAATGCTTTAAATGCTTTATTAATTGGAGAAAACAAATGTATATGCCAATTTTTTTTCTATTACTATTAACAAGATTTATATCTCTTGAAGGAATAAAGGTATTAGCGTTCTACATATGTACTATACAGCCTATTAATTTAAGACATAGGAACGTTACATAATCATCAGTCACATGCTCCTGGCGTAAAACGACTGAGTCACGTTTTCTCTTCTCACATTAAATTTACGTACTGTGTATTGATGCCATTTATTTATTATTGTCACTTATTATATTTTACGTACATACGTGTGTACGCATCTTTGTATCTTTGTCCCAGCCCACCTAATTTTTTACTAAATGTACAATACATAATTATTCAACAATAAATAAATACTAAAATATAAGGATGTTTTTCTTTTTTCTGTGTATGTACATAAGATTCTACAATTCTGCAACCCATTAATTATAGCATCTATAGTACAAAATAAAATCTTATAAAGTTGTTTACCAGACAATTACTATTACATGAAAACATTGCAACAAAAAAATAAAAATGTTAATGTACAAATATATCTAATATTTAGATTTTAAACCCTTTAGAGACTTAATCGATCCTTTAATCCAAATAGTATTAGCGTCAAGCCAATTAACCAAAAATTACTTGTGAATAACTTAGTAGCATCAGATGTAGGTTTATTTGTTGAATTAACATTATTAATTTTTGAATTAGTAGCTGCAGGCGATGAAGCAGATGACGGAGAAGACGGACTCAGAAGAACATTTTCCTGATAAGGGTGATCATCACCAATACATGATGCAATAGGTTTAATATTATACTTGGCAGTTTTAAGAATTGGTACTACCAAAGGAACTCTGGCGGCAGTTTGTTCATATAAGTCGTGTTCGAGGGAGATATGACCAGTATTGGCCAGATTCGGATCATTTACCCATTGAGTAAAGTTACCTTCTATCCAAGTAAGGTCAAAGTTTGGATAAGCTTGAGACATCCAATCATTAGTATCTAAATCCCAAATTGCTACTTTATAACCAAGTTGAGTTGCAATATCACGAACTCGATCATCATAATCTCCGAATGGTGGACGAAAGTACTTAGGAGTAACGTTAACAGCTGCTTTAATTGCTGTTTCAGTCCATTTAAGTTCAGTAATTATTTGTTCTGTGGTTGAATTAGTAAGTGAAGGATGTGACCAAGTGTGTACACCAATTTGATGTCCTATTAATTTTATTTAATTTATTAAAAAGAATAATTTTTTTTTTTTACATATAAATTGAATAATTATAATAATGACATACCAGCTTTAAAAGCTTTCTGCAAAACTTGAGGATTTTGAATTACTCGAGAACCGATAGCAAAAAAGGTAACTTTTACATTTTGTGTTTCTAGATAGTCAAGTAACGTGTTGGTAAATACCCTAGAAAAATAATAATTAATAAATAAGAATGTTCCCAAATAACTAAATGTTAATATATAAATCACTACGTGAACTTACTCCGTTGGGCCATCATCGAAACTAAGTCCCCAATCTAAAAAAAAAAAGATCGTTAGTGCTTATCAAATTTTTAAAGATTTATGTCATAATTTTGATAACTACCTAATTGGTTAGGACATGTAACGACATCTGTATCAGGACGAGAACATTTGGTACAAGTCCAATAACAAAATGGATCATTAGCTGTGCCGTTACAAATAGGTGGCACTGGATTAGTAGGAACTTTCCGAATCTTGGATAAATCTACTTGTTTTACGAAATCTGGATTTACTGCTGGTGGAACATCTGCTTGTGGCCAATTTCCTGGAAGTAGTGACGTAGCAGTCGATGCTAACATATAAAGAATCGCTGAAGAAAATAATATAAAATTGATATATTTCATAGTTGTTATGTTTTCTTTCTTTTAAATAGTATGTAATATTTTAGAATGATCAATACGCCAGTTAATGTTAAAAGGGATACCACGAACCAGTCGAAGTTTCAACATTCCACTAAAAGGATAAAGGAACATATTTATAAGAAATGAATATTATTTTAGACATTGTATTTGTAGATGAATGAATAATATAAATCATAAGTACTACTAAAATTCTTTGAAACATCGGCATTAAGGAGAAATCTTTAGCTTATACTCACGTGCATAAAATATATTGATACCCGACCCTATATTATATTTAGAAAACAAATTTCAATGTTCACCGTAAGTCGTCGATCCCCAATATCCAATGATATCGAAATTTATCTCGGATATTTTTTAATTCCACGTTACTGCATGACGCGACAATAAATTCAAAAAATTTTAACAGGCTATCTGGAGATAAACCAATGAATATGCTCTGCAGAGCTATGTACATAATTACAAAATGGGTTTCAAAAAAAAAAAAATTAAAAAAAAAGAGGCATAATATATGCTTATTATATAATATAATATATATGTAAATATCAAACAAAACCAGTTTAAAACAAAGAAGATCCACTGGCTGAATATTTATTTATTGAATAAGATTTGACCGAAAAGCCAAGACTTCTTGGCCTTTTTAACATTATTCCTATATCGTAGAAAGCTGAACCCTGTACAACATTTATTTTTTGATTGCATACATTTTGATACCATTTTATTGCATGATAATTTTTTTTTTTTATAAAAATTTTTATTTAAGTTACGTATTAAACATCTTTTGTTTTTACGTAAAGAAATTCTAAAAGTTTCCTGTGTCCAAGTGTTTAATCGTAAATATAGTGGCAATTTATATTCTTTTATATAAAAGGTGAAGCTAACCACTAATGTATTAGTGTATTATACGCCGGAAACGGGATTAATTGGGTATACAGATAAGCAAATAGAATTTAAGCATCAAGGATGTCACACGAAGTTTCGTAGTAACGTTGATCGGAAGATCATTGTGAATTATGCGTATGAGGAATAAAGGTTTCAAAATTATGTGCTGCAACAAATAATTTAAAAAAGACAATTTGAAACATATCGACATTGCTTAAAAAGATATAAAAAGATATAAGTTTATGTAATTTGAACAATGTAATTGATTTGCAGATTATACGTAATTATTTTTAATATTTGCGTTGTTTACCAACATTTCCAACGCTAATGCCAATGATAATGCTAATTCGTATATATATTAAAAAATACGCCATACGTATAATTTTTTCTTTTTTTTTTGCAAAAATTAATAATCATAAAGCATTTAATTATTAAACTGATAATTAATTAATAAACATTTTTAATAAGCGTATTATAAACTTATTTTTACTAACCTTAGAAACAGTTTCTACGAGCATTAATTATTTCTTTTTATTTAATGATGATGTTGCTAATATTAGGCTCGACATATTCTCGAGTTTCCATTTCACTATTGAAATTCTTGCCTTCACAATCACCTTCAATTATTAAATCGGTTTGAACCATGTGTATTTTTTCGCCGCAACGTGTGTGAATTGAATATCACTTGAACATCAAATTCAAAATGCTGAACAAACCCAACAATTGAGATTGAAAATTCACATATTTTACCTTCAACCGGAATAATCCGATCGTTGGATACGCGAGATTCAAAAGCGATTGGATCATCGTCTGTACCACTTTTAGGTGATTCTAGTTCATTACTTAGATGATGTAAATCTTCATCATCGTCATCGTCGTCGAAATATCTGATATTCTCTTCGCCTATTTCGCCAATATCTGAATCTTTATCAACTGTTTCAAGCAAGAAGTAATTATCATTTTCAATAAATTGAATTGCTTCAGGATCCAATATCTCTGTAGTCGTTATCAATTCATCAAAATCACTGTCTCGATTTTTTTCATTTTCATCAACTGATTTAGGTAAATAGTCTCCAATATCAATTCCACTGTCATCCAAACTTCTTTCCCCTTGATCCTCTTGATAAATTTCTTCCTCTTTAATACTTCCTTGCTCAAATATTTGTGTAGAAAGATCTTTAGATTCGAAACTTTGCTCAATTTGTTCAAGATCTTGTCCCTTGACCGTGCCATAATTTCTCATGTCATCGAATTTATTTCTCACATCACTCTCATCTCTGATATCAACTTTTGATCGATTTTTATCTTTATTGATTTTATTTTGTTCCTGTTCATAAGGAGGTTTGTCTTGTTTATCCGGGTTGTCCTTTTGAATTAATCCATCATCTAATTGTATCACCACAGGAGGTCCATAATACATATATTGACCTAATAAACTACCTACATATTCCATACAATTATCCATAAAGTATGCAACTAACATTCCAGCATAAGTTTTCGCGTGATGATGTGGTGTTGGTGGTAAAATCATATATGTACTATCGCCTCTGGGTCCTTCTACAGTGATCATGAGTGGACGATGAATACATAAATTTAACCATATAATGTGGTGATATATAATGGATACGGGCTCCTTAAAGAATGATAGCATATTGGGATTTATCTATAACAATATAAACGATTAATTTAAAAAACTTTTGATATAATTAAAGTTTTCAATTTAACTAGCAAATGGGGAAACGTTCATCTTACGAAGGATGTATATTAATTAATTGTGAAAATGAGTGTTATTTAAAGTTCTTTAAATATTTTTTATTTTTAATAACAATAAGAAAGAAATAATTTTATTCTCATAAACGATGACGAATTATTTGATCATTTATTTGTCATAAGCTACTAATAAATGTGTATGGTGATCTTGCGTCATTTTTATCCTTTTGACTTTTAAACAATTATTAAAAATGAATTCACTTTAAATAATTTTGTATTAAAAAAATATATTATGCTGCATAAATGCACGTCTTTTAAAATTTTAAGTAATTTTTAAGATTTTAATGTCATATATCATATATGGGTAGTTTGTTTTTTTTTTGAATACGACTGAAGTGAATAATAAATAAAGCTTTTAATAAATGTTTAATTCGGAGCTTTAATCGCACTAATAATTATAAATCACGAATCGTTTCAAACAATATAATAACATCTTTCGTGTTTAATTGTTCATAATTCAATAAATTTAAATTTTATAATTATGTTATTTATTGATATATTAAGTAATTTGTATTAAAAAAAATTTTTTTATGAATTTTTGCTTTCATTTTCAAATATAAATTCTTTATTATTATTGGTTTTTTAATCTAATATTAATTTCATAAACTAGATTTTATTATTATATCAATAAAAAATAAATTTTATACAGATAGCACAATTTGCCGTAAACTGTTGACTCGTATACCCATGAGTTGTACCTAGGAGCATTCTAGATGTTATCTCAAAGAATAGCATCTTTATATTTTGAAGAATATCTAGCTGGTGTAAAACTGGCAAAGTTGAACGAGAAACGTACTGCAGGTATATCTCTAGTCTTTGTAAATACCCGAATACAAGAGTCAGCAGTTATGATATTAATTTCTCAATGAGTCGTTAATTTTTATGTTGTATTAATTTTTGGCAAAATATTAAAAACTGTATATCAAAACACATCAGTGGTGTATTTTCAAGTAACTATTGATATAATAAACTCTTGATGCTGAATAAAATTCTATATAAGAAAGTTAAAGATAAAACCAGTCTATAAACTTCGATTTAAATTTTGTTAAATTTTTACTATTGGCCCGCCTCCTTTCTTATACCAAATTTCAGTACTTGTAGTATTATTAAAATTGTATTTATTAGGGGCTTTAGAATTAACTTATTTCGAAATAAATGAAAGTTTAAAAAATCATATTTTCGGTTTTAGCCAGCGATAAAATTACCTACCCTCTTTTAATAATACTTATTGGTAAGCAATTATATAAATAAATATATAGTTTTAAAAAATACATCACTTCTTTTGAAATAAATACGTACGTTACTTATTGTCTGGTGAAGACCAACACCCACCCCTGTATCTGTATTACTAGGGTTAGGCATGATCAGGGTTACCGGATCATGACTGGGATTTGCATAAATGGCGTGATCGTTGATGCATGAATTTAATTTAAAGTATATTTGTGTGTAGCCGGGTAATTTACTACCCGGATGATAATCTCTTATAAAAGAATACCGATTCCAAAGGGATCGAAAAACAAAGTTTGCTTGGTGAATAAACGGTCTTAACTGCATTGTCTTGCGGACGCTTGCTTCGTTATAAGGTGGATAGGACCTAAACGATACACCAGCCGTCAAGCGTACGTCGAAAACCCCTATTTAAAGAATTTTATTAAAATATTATACCAAAGTGGATATAATTATTAATTTGACGATAGTTAGCAAAATAGGAATTCAGAGACGTGGGTTTGGTAAATGATGCTATTCGATATAGAAACTATTTCTAAATTCTTTTTTTAGGTCAGGTTGTTAAGGGTCTTTAATAACGTTATTATCGGGAAACGATATTTAACGTCAAATGGAGGTGCAGACATTTAGAATTTTGGAGGTAGTTGCTCCGGCAAAAATATCACGGCGATACGGCATATTTACCGGATAAGTAGAAGTGCCGCATGCCATATAAATGCCGTATGCCGTATAAGTGTTGTACTTTATTAATACTGTGTGCCGTTATTCACCTTAATTTTATTGGGCGAATATAAAGATGATCGATTAATCGGTGGATTAAAAAAATGATTCATGTTTACAAACACTTATTTACTACTAACTAATGCCCTTCAGATATTCGTCAGTGAGTATTACAATAAATATTTAATGATATAAAAAGTATATACAGTAAAAATATACACTGCAATAAAGACAACACGTTTAACGTTTAAAGCATGGTGTTTGGCATGTGATCCGTGATTGAACGGATTTCATTCAACAAATTACCGTATAAGCTTACTTTGAAAAATCAGATCATTCAAAAAATAACTTATATGTTCTCGACATTAGCACTGTAGAGATGCGATCCGTTATCCGTTTTCCTATTTAAAATTTAATGGGTATCCGGATATCCGGATTTTTTATAATAATTTTGTTATAAAATTAATTAGCGGATATCCGGATCGCATCTCTAGCACTATGATCATCCAATGTAGCACATAATTTGTTGTGATAAATAATATACAGTCGGCACTCCATATGTGTACAAGTGTTTCGGGCGAAACTATTTCCAAATCCGAAACGTTTCGCCAAATTTGATCTACAAATGATCTGAAAAATCAAGTTTCGCCCAACACTGATATGTACTTTCCCTATAATGATAAGTGCATATAATTCATAATTTGATGAAACTATCGTTATATGTCGATTATGCCCCATAAATGAATATTCTATAAATGCACTTTACCAAAAAACATGCAGTTATGGAAGATTGGCTGTATTAGATTTAGAAAATCAACTATTATTTCGAAATAACGCACATGGGTGTATTCGAAATAACGCACAGGTAGCGTTATTTCGCGCTTGTACGGTATCTAACGTTAAAGAAATTGGCAAAAGAGGACTCTGAGAAATGTCTGCATCATTAACGTCAAGAGAATCGGATTTTTATTAATATAAGTAATACTAAAAATACAATTGTGCAAATAATACTAAATACACTATTATCGTTATTTAAATAAGTTGCTACAAGAGACATTAACATTAACGTTAAAGGGTAATATTTACCAATTCTAAGTATAACTTGACATAACTAATTCCATTAGTTACTAACTTTCAATAACCAGTTCCGACAGTTCGTAACTATTGGTCGATCCCCAAACCCCCATACCAAATTCGTAATACAAGAAATAAATAAAAAAATAAAATAAAAAAAGGAAATTTAATATATTCTCATAGCTGATGTAAATCAATTGCCCGGGTAACTTATTTATACTGTTTAAAGTATTTTTGAGAATGTTACACTAACAAAAATCACGAAAGAAAAATAATATTTTTACTATTTATCGTAGTATTAGTCATATTAACTATACGTAAGCTCTAAATGTTGGAAACAGTCAAAAAAAAAAAAAAAGATTGAGACGTCATATGTAAGTTCTAAACCTAAAGAACTTTGTTTATACCGTTTAATGTGCTATTATAATAAAAAAAGCTTAGCTTATGCTCTTATTTTACGTGTTCTGAATATTAGAGTTAAAACATTAGTAACTTCGGTTAAGTATTAGGTTGATGAGTATTATTGTTTCATTAATTAGAGTATATAGTAAATTAGTACAGTACGGAAGTATAAGTTAGTACGTACGGACTAGAGTTGTTGGTGAAACTAAATTGAGCTGGTGAAACTTGGTGACTATCTAAAATCTGATTGGCTATTGTAGTAAGCAATCAGATTTTAGATAGCCACCAGTTTCACCAGCTTCACCAACGACTCTAGTACGGACATTAAAAAAAGAAAAAGAAAATTTATACTCAGATGTACAATTACTTAATGTATGATCGATATTTCAATTAAAGATTTACCAATCATCTGTATGACGAATAAGAATTAATTAAAATACGTACGTACTTACGTATATGATTTATTCTTATTCATCAAACAATTATTGGTCACGCCCTCAAACTTTTGATGATTGATATTTTATTTAAATACTATATTTGTCAATGTCTTTTTTTTGTCAATGTCTTTCTTTATAGAGCTATTCAACCTTTTATTCAAATTAGGGTAGCTGCGCGACGCAGTGGTGTCGCGCCAAAACCAGGAACGTACTACAGATTGGTTTTGAAAATTATTA